TCATTTTCCTGTTTTGTATAGACCACAAAATTGTTCTAACTTTAAAAATATAGTCGCAACACGTCCCCTTTAACATGTGCTTTTGTAGCAGGAAGTCCTGTACAGTTCTCCAATCAGCCCCAAGACAAAATGCACATTGCCGTACATGAAGCATTAAAAAGGCAAAGCGAGGTTTAATTTATACATTTATTCTGATCACAACTGTACAGGAGTGTATCGTCACAGCAGAAACGCAACCTAAACCTGACCGTGGAACAACAGCCGTCACAACACGTCCAGAACTCCAACAGAAATGTACAGGCTCAGATCATTTCAACTCAACATTTAGATTCCTCTTGATCATCATCATAGTTATTATTATTCACATAGAACTATCTGTCTTTCAAATATATCTTTGTTTTAAAGAGCATAAAAATACAAGTGGACTTTTCACTAGGATGAAAACTGGTGGCTGATCCACCATCTTGGCTTATATGAAGGGAAAACACTGAAAACTGGGGGCGTCGGGAGGAGTGAAGCCAACTTATTACAGCTTACCAGATTTTTTTGTTATTTTATGTATTTATATTAGCTCATACAAGGCTTTGCAGTAGTTACAGAAGGTTGCAGATATTTGGGCGTTGACTTTTAGGGTTAAGTCACTTGGACATCACTGACACAAAGAGGCGTTGTCAGAGAAATCATGAAGCTGTTAAACAAAAGGAATAGATAAATACGAAGGCACGGAGATCTGCAGAATAAACACCAAATTTAGAAATAATGGTGATAAAAGAGGAAGACGAGAAGGAGGTTAAGTTGATTAAAGGCAATTTTACTAACCAAACTCTAGAGGGCGCTTTAGGAGCGCCTGTTTTAAACCTACCGTAAATCCTCTAATAGAGGCCCGGGCCTGTATTTGACTCAAGCTCATCAAGCTCCGGGCCTTTATTGGAAGGAGGGCCAGAATTAGAGGCAGGCCTCGATTTCTATTTGAGCAAAATGAACTAATGGTTCGCTGGAGTTTTTGACAATTAAAATTGCGCCCACATTTTCAAAGTTAAACACATTTCTTTTAACAACGGTAGTTTCTGCTTCAGCCCTCTCCCCCCTCCCCCTGCACAGCGGCCGCAAACTCACTGATGCGCCTGCAGCCTCTCGGAGTTCCTGCTGCTCTAAACATTAAAAGAATTATTTCATTTTCTGTTCCTCACTTCTGATTACCTTCAATGGTGTCTGTTTGTTGCTACCACCAGGTACAAAAACTAACTTGTTTTTATTTGACTATTTTTCTGTCCTGCCTGTTTATCATCTTCCTGCATCTCCTCTCAATCCTAAAGAGAAACTGCTACCTGGGTTCAGTGTTTTTAAACTCATGTTGGGCAACTTATTTTGTAATTATGACCAAAAAAACTGGATTAAACAAGTTAAAAGGAAAAAAAATTAATTACTCACAAGCAAACTTCCTTAGTCTGAGGACCACATTTGAAAATGTACTTTTGTTTTTAAGACACTTTCTATATTTTTCTTTCATTATTCAGTTACAAAAGGCACACTGATGGCAGGTATAAATGGGACAATGAAATATTAATTTGTTCAAGATATTAAATACCAGTAAATTATTTTGTCTCTTTGCTGGTTTATGTCACAATAATCAGATGGGCTGCTTTGCTCCAAAGCTACACAAGTAATAAATAAAAACTGACATCACATCTGACAGAACATCATCAAAGGTTTCACTGCTTTTTTTCCCTCGCATAATTTTTATTGTTTATTATTTGTGTCAATCAACCAGAAAGAGCAGCTCCTCCGGAGAATCTCTAAAGTAACAAATTATGAAGAATGACAAGCCTTTTGAGAATCGAGGCAAAATGATGACAGTCGTTTTGGAAATAAAATGATGCCACATCACCTAAAAATACACATAACAGACAATTGAGATGAAACACATAAAAATATTTGACATTTATGTCATATATCACAAAATTACATCTCTGCTGGTCCTGTTTCAGGAGATTACGATCACTCTTTAGCAGCACTGAAGTCTCAGTAGTATTACTGCGTTTCATCACTCTAATAGCAGCAGGTCTTTTTTCTTTCTCACGGCATCAAGATGGGGCTTAACTTATGTTTTGTGTTTCCATTTGGGAAGATAGTGACTGAAAGAACCAACACTGAGCTTCTGGGATGTTGTTTTCCATCGGTTTGCTTTGAAGATTGGGTTTTGATGGCAGAGGCGCGTGCGTTGGTATTTACCCACAACGGTGGAAGCTAAGATTGAAAATAAGATAAGAAAGAGAAAAACTTGTTTTGTTTTGGAACATGACTACTACTTTACTTTTTCAATAAATGTTCTTCTTTATCATCACTCATTCTCCTGAACTGTAAGGTGCTTTGGTCAGGTCCCATGCCGTTTTTAAATGTGCTTCATAAGTAAAGCGGCATGGTTTAGTTGGGAATGTATAAAATTAACAGGATGGTCCCACTAAAAACATCTCCTTGCCACAAATCAACCGTTGTCTTCGACTCTGCACGCAAACAAAAATAAAATAAAATTAAATAATAATAAATAATATCACTTGATCAAGACACTACGGAATAGGTAAGAGTATGTATGATTTGTGTTGATGTCATATCGGATCGATATCGGATATCGTATCGGAAGTGAAAATAGTTTTATCGGGACATCCCTATTTTTAGCCTCTTACTGTCAGGTTTTCATACAAAATATGTCAAGATAAATACCCAAGAAATGCATTTCAGTTTAAAATGTATGCTATTTAAATGTTACTTTATTTCTGTATTTAGGGATTAATAGAAAAAGTTTCCTCCACAGGTTAAAAACATTATTTTATCTTTACATGTAACTGTGGTGCGTTAATTTCCCGGCGCTGCGGACCCACATTAGCACTGCTGCCTCGCAGCAATGAGGCTTGCTCTGAATGGATTCAAAAATTAAAATTGATTGAATTTTTAATAAATTAAAAGAAAATTGATCCGTTTAGTAAACCCACAATTTAAAGGCCACAGATGAGTCCACCGCAGACTAAATAGACTCAATCCACACCTGCAAAGTTTAATTCAGAACTCTGTATTTCAAGGTGTCCAAAGTGTAGTCTGCTGTTGTAGCTCTTAACTCCCATTCAGAAGAAATGACTCAATTTTGAAAAACATAGAAAAAAAATCTAATTCTAAAATTAAGAGATTTGCATTGCTCCTTTTAACTAAAGCATAATAAATGCTCTGTTCATGCCCTGTATTAACAAATATGTCATTATACACAAAAAAACTTAAAAATTTAAATGAAAAGAACAATATGTTGTTGAGCTGGTAAAAATAAGTTCACAATAAAAAAATTTTCATCCATCCAACCATTTTTCCATTTTTCCAGGGTCGGGTCACTGGGGCAGCAGCCTAAGCAGGGAGGTCCAGACACCTTGTGGAGAAAACTCATTTCGGCCACTTGTATCTGTGATTTTATTCTTTCGGTCACTACCTAATGCTCCTGACCATAGATGAGGGTACGAATGTAGATCGACCCACAAATCGACCCGTAATTCCGGCTCAGCTCTCTCTTCACCACGACAGATCGGTACAACTCCCGCATCACTGCAGACGCAGCACCAATCCGCCCATCGATCTCGTGCTCCATCTTTCCCTCACTCGAGAACAAGACCCCGAGATACTTAAACTCCTCCACCTGGGGCAGACCTAAAGAAGGCACTCCACTCTTTTCCGACTCAGGACCATGGTCTCGGATTTAGGGGAGCTGAATAACACTTTTGCTTTTTTAAAATGGAAAACAGTTTTTTTTTCCACCCCTTGGGCCACGTCTCTACCTCCTATAAATATTCATCTGTTTAAATGATTATGTGCCTGAGATGTCGAATATCGGAGCTTCTCAGCTTATAGCAGCCTGAGTGAGTAAAGGGTGGGTGCGGCCAACTCCAACTTGTTTTCATAAAGAGCAAGTCACCCCCTACCAGAGTCTTACTCCATCCACGCTTCCTGATTGAAAAAAGCGCCACAAGGAGGCCTAAATCTATGGCACTAATAGATACTCAGTTATACAGTTTATCAGTCAAAAAGTTGTCTTAGGGATGACCTCCTCTTTAAAGAGACAGAAACGGCTTATTGTGGAAGGTACTGAAAATATCAAAAAAACTTTTGATATCTTGTCCCATTAGAGGCAGTTAGTGCAAAAACCATCATAAACGTGTTTTTGATCAACCGCAGCACCATATGAACTTAAGAAAATAACTCAAAACTCCATTTAAGTTTTGCTCACATTTCTTTAAGGTTTGGACACCTCTGCCTTACAGCATTGCCTCTTCATGCATTCAATTTAACTAGAAAGGTAAACTGACCTTTTGGTGGTGTTGGCAGTCCAGATCACAAATCAGATATTAAATTAATGATTTTGTGCTCAAAACATAAAAAGGGAGAAAAGTTTAGCGCAATACTGTGACTGCAGACAAATAATTGTTTTGCTTTCAAATCCACTTTAGATTTCATTTGACCTCTGAGTGCTCTCAACTCGTTGCCTATGCTGGACTGTGAGCTTTGCCACTTGGCCTTTTGAATTGTCCATTAAGAAGAAACATTAAGGTCAAAGCCATTGTCCCCAGTTTCCCCTGCTGTCATGGTCCGTGGTGAGCTGACTGCAAGTAAACCTGGCTTTTCCCTCTGAGCATTGTTTCCACAGGTGGGCGTGTCTGAGAGCTCCAGCTGCAGCTGATCTCCTCATCAAGGCCCAGGGGATTTAAGGAGCAGTGCGACACATCACCACGCCGGATGATTACTCTGTTTGGGTAGCTTCAGCCTCAACCTGACCTTGAAACTAGTATTTGTATTCTTGTTAACCTGTAGCCAGTAAAACCCTTGATGCCCTCTCCTGCTCTCCTCCGGGTTCCTCTCGATTCATCATCAGCTCCAGAACAAGCCTGGATCTCAGTCTACCTGACGCACTGCTTCATCCCCTGGCCGCCTGCTCTCAGCCGCTCACCAACCAACATCCATTCCTGCTCCTCCACCTCTGGACAACCAATACCTCACCTTTGGATCTCCTCAGCTCACCCAGACCCGACAATCCTTCCCGTGCAATTACCACTACCAAGTAACAGTAAGACCAGCTCTCAGATAAGTTCCCATTGCCTTATATTCACTCTGTCTCCCTCCTCAGAATCTCTCCTGGATTCCTGCTGCCAGTCCTGCATCTCGTCGGTTCCCGTCTCTTACTTTCTCCTTATGTAGTAAATAAAACCTTTTACTTGCATTCCTGCTCTCCGTGTTTGGATTCAGCATGTCGTGGGTCAAGAAATTGCCACCCAGACGTGACACCTGCATGTACTGAGCAACATGCAAGAGACCAAGACCGCTCCAAAAGCAATTTGTCGCATTCATAAGTAACATTAATGGGCTCGACACACGGGAGGCGACAAATGACCACGATCAGCGAAATTCGTCGCTGTCGCTTTCATTACCTGACACACGGGAGGCGACCTGTGGCAGCGGCCAGCGGCAAAGCCGTCGACGCGTTCTGTTCCATGACGAAATTGAATCTTCCGTTGTTTTGATTGGCTGTGTCCGGTTGGAGGTAATTAGGGTTATTTAAGCGGTTCAGAGTTGAAAAAGCGGTAGATATGATGTTTCACAAGGTGCTGCTAGAGTTAGGTGAAATCTTACTTCTAATTTTACTATATTAAAAAAAAACGAGAATGGATTCATCCCATGCTCGGAGATGTACGGAGCATCCTGTCCGCTCATTGGTCAGTGAATGAAACCTCAGTTGATTGGTCCTCGTCCGAGCGACAGCGATTAAAAGTTGAAAATATTTCAACTTTCTGGGATCACATCGCTGAGTCGCCTGTGCACGTCATGTGCATGAGCGCAAACTTTCACACGCATGCTTTTCGCTTTGTAGGAGGGAGACCCGTGATTATCACTTTGTCATGCATGTCTCATTGAAAATGAATGGAGGAGAGGCGATGTCGCCTCCCGTGTGTCGAGCCCATAACGCCATTGAGGATGCATGTTTCAGTAGAATCTGCTGGAGGAGCTTCTGCAGCTTCCTGGTTGCTGCTAACTTTGACCATCAAGGTGAAAATTTGAGGTCAAATGTGAGTTTGCAGGATGCTTCACTGATTATCCCCATTAACCAGCAGAGTCACACACTTTCAATTTAACCTCTGAGGTGTGTGTTGAGCATTTCCAGCTCATGGACTGGCTTTTTTTCCCAGTGTTAGCTGATAAAACTAAGTATTTGTAATTCCACATGCAGCAGAAATATGATCATGTTAAAGAGCAAAGAAGCAAAATTATATTTGTCTCTTTAATTTCTGTGGCTTTCCTTGTTTTCAGAGGCCATTCTAGTCTTTATGTTACGGTTATTAATGTTGTTTTACTCTTGCTTTGTTTGATTAGTTTCATTTTGCACATCCTGATTGATTTTTTTTCAGTTTCTCCTCCACGATTATTTCATTTTGTTGCACTCCTGGCATTTGTCAATTGTTTGCCCCTCAGCTGTTGTGAATTTATCTGTTCATTTTATTTTCTGCACGTTTTTCTTTTGCTCGCTGACGGATGTTTGTCCTTGTTTCTTTCCTGGGTGGTGTTTGCTGTGATTTTGGAATTACCATATGTTCAACGCTTTATTTGATTTCCTTGTTTCTGTTGTTTCCTTTGGTCTTTGGTGCAAGTCAATAAAGTTTGGCTGCTGCTTTTATTTTGAAATGATATACCTCCAATTCTCCCCGAGGTAGATTGGAGTCGTTTTTGCTCTCCAGTTGCAATTTAACTTCAAGAAATTTTAAAAAGTTAAAGAGCAGGTTCATTGGGAAACCATAATTAGTATTTTTGAAAATGATCGGTTACTGAGATCTTCATGCAGGCTGAATGTGAAAATAGTCTTCTACCCTATTTCCTGCATTAGCTTCTGAGAGAAAATGGACAGAAAAGCAAAAGGAAAATCTCGACAGATCTACGTCACGCTGTCGCTTAACATTGATGGACTTCCCCATCTTGGCTTGCAACAAGGAAGGCTGTTGTTGGTTTAGCGTCTAGGAAAGTAGAAGCTAACCTTTAGCATTAGCATCTCCACAACATGGCAGAACTCCTCCAGGCTTGTGTAATTTGTGGAGATAAAGCATCAACGTTGCAAAGGTAATTGAGACATTGGTAGAGTCATGTTGCTGTCAGAGGCAACTTTCTCCTCCAGCTGGCTTCTTCATCCTCAAACAGGAGCATTTTTTTCCGCAGACACACCGATATTTGGTGCGTCGTGGTCATAACCCCGCACTGATTAGTGGAATGGCGCAAACCGTGACTAGCTTGATCTCTGATGATTGTTTTGGGTGAAACCCCGTAATTCTAAGAGTTTGTGAAAAGGCGCACTGACATCATATATGATGTGAGTGGAAGCATCTAATTATAGACATTGGCTCAATAAAGGGTTAAGTGAATTTTCCCACTGTGGGATCAATAAAGTCTTTTCTATTTTATTCAATTCTATTCTACTTTTCATCTGGTCTTGATAAAGTAGATGTCTAAATTCCAACTGGCATCAAAGCCACTGCAGTACAAGACACATTAAACAAATGGCTGGAAGCGAGACAGGTGTAGGGGAGATGGGTGTGCACCATTTTACCCAACGAGCTTGGCGATTATCCAGCTGTAAAGGGCCATCAGCGGCAGCAGCTCTGACAAGCCACTGGGTTAGTGAGAGATGCAATTAAGACCTCAGTGGGGAATCTGCGTCTGACACACACAGATAGGCTTGTAGCTTCATTTCCCCACATACATGCATTATGTTCAGACTGTGAAGTGGAAATCTCAACCTGAGTCACATCAGTTGACTTCACCATCAATTTATTTATCTGTTTTGTTTGGAGCTGTGGAGAAGGCTGAATGCCTGGTTACTGGTAATTACCTGCTGCATTCACTGTTGCAAACCAATTATCGTATGCAAATGAATAAATATGGTAAAGGATTATCTTTGGAATAATGCGTTCAAAAATGACAAAGATTAAGTGGAAGTGACACTCGGATATTTCAGAGTGCGTAGGAATGATCTTTAGTTCAAAGCACATTCCACATTAGAAATTCAATATGCAAACACCGAATAATAAAACCAACATACCTACGCTGGTATGTTGCATTCATTTGTTAAATCAGTTCACAGGTCATCCCTGCTGTGGTTTCTAATGCAGTAACTATAACAAACTGGGAGAAAATTAGGTGGGAGACGGTGGTTCTCAGTCCTTTTGGAAAAACCACAACAGCATCTCATTTTCATAAGAAACACCAACGTGGTGACTCACAAAAGGACAAAGGGGCCTTCGTTTCAATCCCATAATGAGATATAAAAATGGTTGTGAATTAATCTGTAGCCTTGAAATTTAGACTTCTTGTTTTAAAGCAGGGATCGTTAAATGCTTAGAAGAGCTATCGATATTTCGTGTGACATTTTTATGTTGTTTTTTCAATGATTCAATGATGCGGGTGTTGTACCGATCTGTCGGAAGGTGAAGCTCTCGATTTACCGATCCATCTACGTTCCTACCCTCACCTACGGTCACGAGCTTTGGGTAGTGACCAACAGAACAAAATCGTTGGTACAAGTGGCCAAACTGAGTTTTCTCCGCAGGGTGTCTGGGCTCTCCTTTAAAGATGAGGTGAGAAGCTCGGTCATCCGGGAAGGACTTGGAGTAGATCTGCTGCTCCTCCACGTCGAGAGAAGCCAGCTGAGGTGGCTCGGGCATCTAGTCAGGATGCCTCCTGGACGCCTCCCTGGTGAGGTTTTCCGGGCACGTCCAACTAGGAGGAGACCAAAAGGAAGACCTAGGACATGCTGGAGGGACTTATGACTCACGGCTGGCCAGGGAACGCGTTAGGATTCCCCCGGAGGAGCTGGCCCAAGTGGCTGGGGAGAGGGAAATCTGGGCCTCCCTGCTTAGGCTTCTGCCCCTGCAATCCGACCCCGAATAAGCGGCCAAAAATGGATGGATGTATTCAAAGATTTATTATTGTAGTTTCAACCAATGCCAGACATGAGGTGAAAAAGTTTTCCTGGTTCTGATTTTAACCCAAAATACATAAGAGTTACTGAATAGACGTAGTAGTCTCTAAAGCCTATGTAATAGAAAGGAAATATAAGGCATCGGTCCCGAAAAGAATCACTTTTATAATAACATTATATATAAGGCCTTGAAAGACCAAGTTCACTTGTTTTTTTTTTGGGGGGGGGGGGTTCCAATATTTTTGTAGAGGTCTCTATTAGATCTCTGCGGAATAAAAGCTCTGGTGCTCCTGTTTCACAAAGTAACATAACTAACTCCACCACTGACTGTTTGTTTTGCACCGTTGATGTTTTAACTTCACAAATAACACAAGGGGTGCTGCCATGTTGTGGAGCTGCTAATGCTAATGGTTAGCTTTTACTAACCAAGGTGTTCTCTGTTTTCAGGATGCTGTTTGCTCCAGTCAAGTCCTCCTCTCAGCTATGTCCCTTAAAACACTGTGCCCTATCCATGTTTTATAAATCAGACTATTCTTAGCATGAACAAATGTGCAAATATGATTAAATCTGAATGATCAGAGCTCCCTAACTCACAAATGCTACCGTAATTTCCAGACTATAGAACGCACTTCAAAATAAGCCGCACCAGGCTAAAAGCCGCAGATATCTACTGAATTGAAAACGTAGTTTAACTGAACGTAACTGAACTGATCAGTATCAAACAAAACAGAAAAGTTATTGATTAGTTTATTCATCGTCCTCCTGCGCACTGAAACCACTGAAGTCATCATCTTCAGTGTCTCGGAGTTGAACAGCCTCAGAAGAGCTTCGTCACACACCTTTTCTGTGGCGATGTCGGTGTCGCTCTCCGTGTTGCTGTCACCATCCCGGGGTGAAGCTGGGAAAACAAGCAGCGCCGTTTTACTGTGAAAAAAATCCTCCTGGGCGCTTTCCGTGGCACTCCTTTAACCATTCCTTTATTAGACTTTCCAGCATCCATCCTTTCTGTTTGACTAAAGCTGCACCTCATTATAAGCCGCATGGTTCAAAGTGTGGGGAAAAAGTGGCGGCTTATAGTCCGGAAAATGCGGTACGTTATTTCTCAAATACCATTTAAAACAGGTAGTCTTGTCCCAAACAAGCACTTCTTCAGAGTCGGGGTTAACTTGTGTTTTTCCGTCATTTCGAAAGTCCAACAGGAGGCAGAGCTAATAGCTAGAAGGCTCTTCTATAGTGGAACCTCCTCCTGTTTGGGTTCA